AACGGCCCTATTTGGAAACCATAGTGAAACCCCTATTAACTATACATAGTTCGAAAAGAAATTAATACAAAACGACGAATCAATAAAAATTCTGCGAATCTTCCACTTTTTTCCTGCGAGCCAGGTGATATCTCTTATACGGCTTATACAAGAGCTATATACGGGATAACTTGACTATATAGTGCACTTAAAAGTTATTATTGGTAACCCAATTATATATTATTGAATGCGGCACTAAATGCTGAACAAAACCATAAAAAAGCTTGCTTCAGAAAAGCTTGGGAAACGGGTGCGCATAGGAGCACTAAAACATATCATAGTCTTTTGCACGTAGGTTTCTGTTAATAGTCGAGTAGCAATTGATGATGTATGTTTCTTAATGATTTTTTCTCGATTTATATGTGCAAGGCCAAGATAATGCGGAACGAAATATTTAACAAGAGCAGCACTAGTACTATGTATGATATCAGTCACTTTTCGTTTGTTGTCAATGCCCAGCATCGAAGCAACTACCGAATTGCTCATCGTAAGCCTTAATTTCATAAGTAAGCATGCGATGGCACAGCGAGGAGATCGATTGATAGAAGTTTTTAGAGCACTTGCGGGAATATATGAGAGAACACGATCATGCCGTGTTCGCGTAAAGCCAGTGAGGTTTTTGTATTCGATGCCTGATAACGATAAAGGATCATCGAAATCTACATTTTTATTACTATTGACCATTTTTCGCAGTTTTTGCATAGTGTTCACAATATAATTAAGATTGAATATTCTATAATCGTCTTTGTAAGCAGTCAATTTGAAAAAGTCTTCACGTAATAAATATCCATTTGAAGTATGAATTTCGCAGCAGCGTGATCCTTTCGGGATAAAGATATTTCGACGAATAAAGATAATGCTTCGATCTTCCTTTTTAATAGTGACTGTTGGTGGAACCATTTGAATTCTACACACACAACATTGGCTAAAACAGAGGATTTGGTGAAGTCAACGATGAAATTGTTTTTTTTACCTTTTTGACGAAATGCTTATGCCAGTAGGTAATTTCAAACCATTTTTCGAAGTAAAACTTGATTTATCAGTAATCGATGCATTATCCTATGGTAGCGAAGAGAGTTCATATTTACAGCACAGAAATATCGATCATCTTACATATACCTCATTACAATCCATCTCTGAATCGCTTGGGTTACTTCCATTAGACTCTTCATCATCAATCATTTCATTATCCTAGCAGATTGAAAAAGGTGTCTTATATATATATACATTAATATTTAATGTAATCTCACATATTTATGATTTGACTTAGCCTTTGAATCATTCGAGCTATTTTCGTCGGATTCTTCATCATTGATCATTTCATCGTCCTAAAAAATTTAAAAACTCCTTGGTGGGTGTATGACAACATATCCAAGCCTCTTACACTGTTATCATTAGAGTCAGTCCCTACATCACCTGAAGTATTTTCATTTGAACTTTCATCCTTTTCTTCAGTCATTCCATCATCATCTTGACTCAACATATCAATTTGCAATAATATTTGATTTAAACCTAAATTTGCCTCCCACTTGTTGTACATCCAATGACATGTGATGCAAATGAAACAATCAGTAGGCATTTTCTCAGGAAACAAACGAGCACTCAAGAAAATAATGAGTGACTTGATATTAACCGGGCGCTTACCATCTCTATTCAAATGCTTACCACAACAAACACAATCATCTTTCGAATCCATGCATTAACACCAAGAGTGTCGAATTAATAAACCAACTATAGTGACTCACCTCACCAATACGTTCAATTAAACAATACATCTAAACATAATTGCGCACTGATCCACGTATCCGTGTTTTCCCCTCCTTTTATTTTATCCTCCGTCGTGGATATTAAAACAAACATCCACTAACTAGCGAATAAAACAAAACATAGAGGTCACATCATCCAATGACGATCGTCACTGGATTTCTCGTTAAAGCGTAAACAAGTTATGCACATTATGAAAAATCATTCGTCGTCGTTTTGTAGGGCTTAGTTAGAACTATCTATGGAGAAAAGATCACGCCGGTGTCTATCTCCAATATTGAGATCCATGGGAGACTATTAACAGAAACCTACGTGCAAAAGACTATGATATGTTTTAGTGCTCCTATGCGCACCCGTTTCTCAAGCTTTTCTGAAGCTAGCTTTTTTATGGTTTTGTTCAGCATTTAGTGCCGCATTCAATAATATATAATTGGGTTACCAATAATAACTTTTAAGTGCACTATATAATCAAGTTATCCCGTATATAGCTCTTGTATAAGCCGTATAAGAGATATCACCTGGCTCGCAGGAAAAAAGTGGAAGATTCGCAGAATTTTTTATTGATTCGTCGTTTTGTATTAATTTCTTTTCGAACTATGTATAGTTTATAGGGGTTTCACTATGGTTTCCAAATAGGGCCGTTTTTGCTAGCATATCCACCCCCGTCCTTTTACTAGGAAAATTTCAAATTCTCCTGCGATGCATTCATATATATATATATATATATTATTGTTATTAACATCTGTTTTTAACATGGGTGTAGTGTTCGTATTAGAAACACTGGATAGATCTATGCTTCATTTGTTTTATTTCTCTAATAAGCATAAAAAATCTCTTGGTTGAAAATAAATATATCGGTTTGAAAGACTTCGAACCGAACCGAACCGATCGCATCACTGATGCATTTATCATTGATTAGCGACGGAAGTGTTTCAGACTAAAAGTTTAAATACTGAAAAGATAAGTGCAACCATATGCTCCTATTTTCAAGTATTGTATTTTATTTAAATGCTAATATTACTAAAAAGCTCAACAACGTATTCAAGAATTTATTTTCTAAATATTTTATTATGGTGATAAAGCAATTAAATATTCTTAATGGTATTCTGTGTTTCTAGTGTTCTTCCAGTTTTGCTTTCGGCCACAATAGTTCGTTTAATCCTGGTATTTCTCGCATAAAATCTGCCATCTTCTGATCGAGCAGTTGAACTTGTTCATCATTCATCTGTGATGACCAATTGCCGGCGACTCCTGTTCGCACAAATGTCAAAGGAAAACTAAATGTCTGTGATTTATCAGACTTTTGAGCGTGACAAGTGTTGTGTGCTTTATCAAATTTTTGTTTCATATAGGTGAACGAAGCGTGCTCCAATATTTTCTCAAGTACCTCTTTGTTTTGGTTGATATTGAGAAATTCAGCCACTTTAAGAACTACTCCAGTTAAGTCTACTTGCATCTGCTCATAGGAAATCAATAGAACATTAGTATCATCCTTATGATCACATATAGAGCGCAAATGCTCGAAATAGTCACCATACGGAGTGTTACCATGGATGAAATCCTCGAAAAATGTGTTAAATTTTGCATTGAAATGCGCATATAGTGGAATTTCACGAACAAAGTGATAGAAAGAAACACAAACATCTTTGGGATTACGAATGATGCAAACGTATTTCGCTTTTGGGTGATGTGGGATGTAGTTAAATGGTACATGCATCTTAATTGATCCTGGCCGTACCATTCCCATGATAGAATTTTGACCGAATCGCTCAGCGTATGGTGTTTGCGACAAATAATATCCCATGTCATCGTCAAATGCCTTTCCGTCATTGAGCAAGCCGAAAACAACATTTTCAATCCAAGTAGTGCCTGATTTTGGGAATGAAACGATGAAAATGTCATCTGGTTGGGCTTCATAATTTAACGCAGAGCGAACTGTTTCAGCGTTGAAATGGTAAGGAACTTTTGTTCCATCGACTATTTGATACACATCCTGTGTGAGCTGATGACTCATAATTGATCTATTATAAGGATAAAGTAATTTTCTTTGTGATGAAAACAACTGAAAAGATGGAAATTTATATAATTCTTGGACAGTTTAAGAGATAAGCCCTATGCAATACATTTTTGTAAAAGAACTAGTACCATATATATATGCATGACATGATTTTTAATGTTACTTTATGCTTAATCTTTTTCTACTTTATAAAATATATTTTTCAATCACAGAAATAAATAGATATACGTGCCGCAGAGGCTGTGCCAAACCATTAGGTCTGTTTTCATGGCAAACATTTTTGCTAGTTTAAAACTTTTGTTACCGAAAAAATGGTATTCATTAAAAAAAATCAGTTTATTCGATTTTCGAGGACGGTACATAAATTAAATAAATTAGGTAGATACCCTGAAGAAATTAATTACTTTGGTTATAAATACGAGAAGTCACTAACTTCTCTAAGAAAGCAGCTAGGACTATAACAGTTCGCAGTTCAGTTCAGTTCAAACGAACTGTTCGAACAGTTCTTTTGAACTGAACTATTTCCGAACTGTTATAGTCCTAAAAGCAGCTACTTGAGTAGAAGATGAAAATAAGCGCTGAGCCTGTCCTGTCACTAAGTTATTTCTAATTATTTGTAGTGAAGTTGTTTTGTAAATGTAATAGCTGATGTCTTTTAGAGTTAACTATAAAGGGAATATCCTCTTGACACCTATATCATTTAAAGAAATGAATGATTGTTCTATGCGCACTCATTCAACACCTCATACTTTTCCATTCTATGGAGAGGGTAAATGACTATGCTGAACTTCATATATTTGAATAGAAACCTTGGCATGCACTACTATGCTAACCCAACGTTGTAGGGAGATATATTACGCGGCAGTTTCTGAACACAAATCTTGTCTAGAAATTCTTCGGAGTATTTTTCAGACAGTGCGTAATAAGCACTGGTCAATAAAAGGAAATTCAGTAATCATTTATATCATTACTTAGATCATTGTATGGCACTAAATTAACTTAAGAACAAAAGTAAGGCCCACTTCAGGATCGAACTGGTACTTTAAACTATAGTTTTCGGCTGCAACATTCAGCAATGATTGATGCTGGTTAGAAACTTTTATGATAAAAATTTCAGCCTTGTAATCCTTATTAAACTGGACTTACAGTTTATTTTCAACAATTCACGAAAATCAAAATAACTCCATAACCGTAGTAGATGCCGAGATCGGAGTAGTGTTATATTGATGCTATCATCTATATGCATCTTTTCATCGGAAAGAATTTCGAAAGTCGCTTCTGTTGGTTGTTATTTTAATTTGTATGTCTTGAAAATAACGCCAAAAAAAGAAGATAAATCGAGCTTTTCTCAGTTTAAGAACTAAATATCATAAATCAGACCTATGATAAGATAGACCTTATTGAGATGTTTAAATCAAAAAACCTATCTGGGAAACTTCAAACTAAGCAGCAGCTATTTTAGTTTTACTGCTAGAAAACTACCTTTCGAGAAAACCACTAAAATAAGTTTTAGATATAGTTTTTTCAATGAAAGAGTTAACAACTGATTTTGTGAAACACGACCTGAAAGGAGTGTTGAAGTGTTTAGGGTAGAAATTTTGCACCAACCCCCCGCCCCCCC